GGGACCAGCAGTTAGCGTAATGGCTATGTCGCTGGACTCCCACGTAGTCGACCGTGGTTCGCATCCTGGACCCGGTGGCTTAAACTCACGCTGGGCGCATGTGTGTGCGTGCCCAAGATCCCGAGAGGGGAATGGAGGAGAAGGGATTGCAGCGTGGCCATCCTCCCTGGGGGGTGATTTCTCGCTTTCTGTCTCTCTGTCTCTCTCTGTCTGGCAAGCGCATGCGCCCTATAGCAAAAAAAAAAAAAAAAGAAAGAAAGAAACACTGGGTCTCCAGGGACAGCCCCGATCCCACCAGGAGTGATGCTTTTCTTGTTCACCGCCATTTCCAGCACTGCCCCTGGCTGAAAGCCTCCTCTTCTCTCTCCCCAGAGCTCCCAGAGTTTGTGGAACCGCCTGTCTGTGTTGCTGAATCTGTTGCCAGCTGCTGGCGAACTCCAGGAGTCTGGTGAGTGGTCCCCTCCATGCCTGCCCTGCCCCCTCCTCTTGGCCCCACCAAGCCCTCCCCTCCTGGTAACCTGGCCTTCGGGTAAGGAGGTTAATGGATTCACTCCCAGCGTCCCGCACACAGCAGGCATTGTGCGGCCTGCGCGTCTCCGATTTCCCACCAGGACTGCGCAGTGTGGGCAGGTGGCGTGGGCTGGCAGAGCCAGCTCCCTGGGGAAGGCCGCGGGCTGGGCGAGAGCGGAGGGAGGGAGGCCTGTGGTCGCTGAGAATTGACTGTGAACTCCAGAGCTCATCGGTCAGGCCCACCTCCTGCCCCCTTCCTGCTGGAAAGCACCACCGCTGCCACCTCCGGAGAGGGCCGGTCGTTCTTCCGGAGCTCTGCTTTCTCCCATCAGGGAGCATTCCCATCTCAGCTCTCCGGCTCCTCCACTGCCGGCCCTGCTCCCCTACCCTTCCAGCCCTGGCATCCCAGCATGCCGCCTGACTGGCCCCGTGTCCTTCCCTCCATCCAGTCCAGGGCAGGGAGCCACCTCTGTCCCATCAGCCTTGTAATTCCCAGAGGGCAAGTGGTCTGATGTGTCCCCTCTCTGCCCAGGACTGGCCTTGTGTCCTGAGGTCCAGGACCTTCTTGAAGGTTGTGAACTGCCCGAGCTCCCCTCCAGCCTGCTGCTCCCAGAGGACGTGGCGCTTCGTAACCTGCCCCCGCTCCGGGCTGCCCATAGACGCTTCAACTTTGACACAGATCGGCCCCTGCTCAGCGCCTTGGAGGAGGTGAGGGCCTTCCTTCTGCCCCAGGCTTAGTTTGTAACTCGTACACAGCAGAACAAGGCCTCCCACCCAGACAGGGAGGGTGTGCTGGGGCCCCAGGCTGTGTCCATCCTTCCGTGCTGACCACTGAGCATCCTGGCCTTGCCTTGGCCGCATGTCCTTCCTGAGGTCTGCTCTCTGTGGGTGGTTTCTGCTGCTGTAGAACACTCTTCTTCTGCCATCCGCAGAGGAAAGAACCAGTAGCTTTTTAGGGCTTTGAAGTATTTTTCAGTCTCCTCTAACTGGGCCCAGGCTTCCCTGAGCCGAATGTCAAATCACCACAGAAAGTTAGAGTGACAGGACGTGCACTGCCCACCTGACGCAGCAGCCGTCGCCCGCAGTTCTGTCGGCGAGTGGGCTGAGCCGGCGGGGGCAGCAGAGGGAAGCCATGCAGACGGGCCACCAGCCTGCTCCCCCACACTTTGCTGCCCGCTCTGCAGCTTGGCTGTGCGTGCGTGTCCTTCCTTATGAGAGAAAGGCAGAGACAGGCTGGTGTTTTGGACAGGGTCTGTACTTATCATGCTCCTCCTGCCCTAGCCTCCCGACTGGCGAGGGTTCCGGGTGCTCACCCTCGGAGCCAGCAGGAGTTGGCCCGGGAACAGAACCTGTGTCTGCCTCATGGCCTCCAGCCTCCCATGCTGCCACACGGGGCCAGTCAGTTTCATGATTCAGGTTCTAGATGAGGTTTTTATCGGAGAGGGAAAGTCTTTAGTCAGCAAAAAAAGTAAGTTGGAAAGTGTTGCTCCAGTTTAGTCCTCTCTTCCCACGTGAGGAACGGGGACCAGAGCGGAAAGCCAGGACGCCAGAGCCAGGTCTCTGCTTCCGCCCAGTGTCCTTCGCCTCCTCAGCCCGAGAGAAGCCTCCTGGCCCGACTTGCTTACTCCTCTTCTGGCAGCCAGAGGGTCTGGGCCTCAGTGCCCCCCACCCGACCACAAGCCCTGGTTGTGGAAGTGGCCGGGCCAGCAGGGAGGGAGGGAGGCCTGGCGGCAGGTGGGCCCAGAGGCCCTGCTCAGCCAGGTGGCTGCTTGTCCCCGCAGTCGGTGGTGCGCATCTGCTGCATCCGCAGCTTCGGCCACTTCATCGCCCGCCTGCAAGGCAGCATCCTGCAGTTCAACCCCGAGGTCGGCATCTTCGTGAGCATCGCCCAGTCTGAGCAGGAGAGCCTGCTGCAGCAGGCCCAGGCCCAGTTCCGCATGGTGAGTCAGGGCTCGCAGAGAAACTGGACATGGCGAGATGGGATGGGGAAACCGCTCAGGGAGAGGGGAGACTCGCCCGGGGGAGCTGGGGACAGGGTCTTGGTGGACAGGGAGGGCACTTTGAGCAGGGACAGCCGGCTCAGGTCCTGTACCCAGAGTGACATGGGGTTGAGGCCCATAGCTGCAACAGTCTGTTCTTTTCTTGCCAGAGAGGTCATGTTGCGTGTGCTCCCTAGAGAGAGAAATAGAGGAGGGGAGGGTGGCAGGGGGAGAGCACTCCCCAGAGAGAGAAATAGAGGAGAGGGTGGCAGGGGGAGAGAACCACGCCCACAGTGAGGCGTGGTCATGGCACAGTCCCCTCTCCATTTCTCCATCCTGTTAGGATCCTGCACGTGCACACATACACCCAGCGTGCTTTGCAAGCTGCTAGGGCCGCACGTGGCCATGTGTGATCTGGCTGTCTTCACCACCAGGCCGTGGGGTGGACCCTGCCACCTGGTTTGAAGGGAGCATTTACCCTGCCATGCCCACAGTGAGGCGTGGTCATGGCACAGTCCCCTCTCCATTTCTCCATCCTGTTAGGATCCTGCACGTGCACACATACACCCAGCGTGCTTTGCAAGCTGCTAGGGCCGCACGTGGCCATGTGTGATCTGGCTGTCTTCACCACCAGGCCGTGGGGTGGACCCTGCCACCTGGTTTGAAGGGAGCATTTACCCTGCTAAGCTGGTTTCCTCCCTGTAGTGTGGAAGTGAGGAGAGTCAGCCTTGGGCGTCCGTGAAGGCAGAGTGGTGCGGTCAGGGCCCCCATGCCTGTGAGGCGTGTGCTCAGCGGTGCTCCCTGGAAGGCTTGCGGACTGGGGAGTGGAAGGGAATGGAGGGCTCTTGGTGTGGGTTACCAGGCGGGAAGCTGCCTGTTCTCTTTCCTACTCATTCCACGGGTTTTGGCTGAGAGCCAGCTCTGTGCCAGCCACGGTGGGTCCAGGTGCTGGGGTCACAGCGGTGAGCAACCGGTCTTTCTCTGCGGGGCTCGCACTTGGGAGCAATCTGGTTTCCACAGGAGAGCCTGCACAGCCCTGGGCATGTCCTCCTCCAGCTGGGTGACCCAGGACATTCGGGGTGTCAGCTTGCACGTCTTGGCAAGCCAAGGGCTTCTTCTCTAAGCCAGTCCCCTCCCCCACCTTCATCTTGTCCCCCGAGCCCCAGGCTAGCAGCTCCCCCTCTCTCGGAGCCTCCTGTTCTGCAGACATTCTGCTTGACCTCGAAGGGCCCAGACTCCCCAGACCTTCCTTGCTGTCTTAAAAACAAGCACATTTGTTCAAAAACAAATCTTTTGTGCTAAGGTTTTTATTCCATAGGGGGAAACGGGAGGTTACAAAAATAATTATGGGGAAGTTACACAGCTCCAAAAAATGTTGGCATTCGTGCAGGCATTTCCTTCTGCAGGCGCCTCCTGGGGGCTGGGCGCACCTGCAGCCCCTCCTGTGCTGCGGGAGGGCGCAGGCCGGGGCCTGCTGTGGCTGCTCCTGCTCTGCCTGAGCCGCAGTAGGAGTGTTGTCCCACCGCCACCTCCTGCCACTCAGGAAGAGCTTTCAGTGTGCAAAGCCTGGTTCGCGTGGACACCTCACTTAACCCTTACACAGCCTGGGAGGTGGGGCGTGGCCAGAAAAGCACAGAAGGACCAGGAACACTCCCAAGTGCCGCGTCGTCAGTGGTCCGAGTCCACCTCGGTTCTCGACCTCTTTTCTGCTTGAGGGCTTAGCCTCTGCTGGCCAGGCTACCTGCCAGGAGCCACAGCGCCTGCTCCCTGGGCCTCTTTGCCGGCGGGGCCTTTGGAGGCGGATTTTCCCTCTGGGCAGCACACAGGCCCATGTCTCTGGGTTGCCGGGCAGGTGATGTCTGAGCCTGAGGTCCGTGCAGCGCTCTCCCCGGGCCCAAGGCATGGGGTGACTTACACATGTGCGCACTGCACCCCCCTAGAACACGGGGTTTCACAGTAACAGCTTTTGCTGAAGAATAAGCTTCCGGGCTTGATGTTTACCCTGAGAAGGGGAAGGTGTGCCCACTGTGCCTTTCCTTCGCAGTGGCCAGCAGGGTGGGAGGAAAGGGCTCCCGCCGCCATGCTCTCCTGCCTCTGGGAAGTAGGGTGTCTCAGAGGGACCTGTTGGCATTTTTAGCCAGGACAGGTCTTGGTCATACAGGACTCTGGAGGGGGTATGAGAGATTAGCGTTCTTGAGCTAGCAGGTGGCGTGGTGGTTAAGGCGCTGGATCCCACAGTCAGTTCTGCAGTTCAAGTCCTGGACTCAGCGGTTTGAAACACCCTGGGATGGGGCCAGCAAGTGGCGTGGTGGTTAACGGTGCTGGATTCCCACATGGCCGACTGTGGTTCGAGTCCCGGACCTGGCGGCTTGTTTTCTCACTTTCTCTCTCTCTCTGTCACTCTGTCCCTCTGGCAAAATTGAAATAAACAAATGAATAAGTAAAGTTAAATAATTCTTAAAAGAGAAAGAAAGAAAAACACACTGGGCACATGTGCGTGCATACCCAAAACCTGAGAGGAGAATGGAGAAGGGATTGCAGCGTGACCATGCCCCTGGGGGGTGATTTCTCATTCTCCCTCTGTCTCTCTTTGTTAAGTGCACACACTCTATGGCAAAAATCTTGTTTTTATTCCTAAGAATTATTTAATTTTATATATTCCTTTTTCTTTTAAAGAGGTTTTACCTTAAGGGCACATGCACTGGCTGGGGAGAGAGGGACATAGACAGTGAGAGGAAAAGTGAGAAATCACCCCCCAGGAGGTTGGCCATGCAGCGGTCCCTTCTCCTTCATTCTCTTCCTGGGCTCCTGGGTGCACACGCACATGGGTAGGGTTGGCCACCACCTGCTGGCCCAGAAATTAGCATTTTTAAGAACTACTAAGAGTAACATTGGAGGTGCTGGGTTCCCACATGACCTGCTGTGGTTCGAGTCCCAGCCCTGGTGGCTTGCTTTCTCCTTTTTCCCAACCCCCATCTCTTTCTGGTCAAATTTTTCAATAATAATAATAATAGTAAATAAAGTTAAATAAAAATAATTCTTTTAAAAAAGTTTATTCTTTTTTAATAAATTTTTTAAAAGAATTATTTTTATTTAAGTTTATTTATTTATTTATTTTAATTTGACCAGAGAGGGACAGAGGAAGGGGGGTGGGAGTGATAATGCAAGCCATCATGTCTGGGACTCGAACTGCAGTCAGCCATGTTGGAGTGCCCTTAATCACCACACCACCTGCCAGCCCCAATAAAATAATTCTTTAAAAAAAAAAAAAAAAAGAGTACAGGCTGGGCCAGCCAGGTGGCATGGTAGTTAGGGCGGCTGGATCCCACTTGGCTGACTGCATGGGTCATACCCAACAGCATGTAAAACACACTGCGCACATGTGTGTGCATGCCCAAAGTCCCAAGAGGAGAATGGAGAAGGGATTGTGGTATGGCTGTCCCTCCTGGGGAGCGATGTCTCACTTTCTCCTTCTCTATCTCTGTGTCTGTTTTTTGGTGAGAGCACGTAATTCAGAATAATTTCTGGAAAGGAATACACACTATATTCGTATTTCACTGGTTTTTCCACTACTGTGTGCTTTCAGGATCTAATCTAGGATCACGTATTATACTTAGTGGTTCTGTCTTTGTCTCTTCCCAGCTGTGACTGCCCCTCAGGTTCTCCTTGTTTGTCATGACCTTAACACTTTTGTCGAGTAGTGATCAGTTCTTTTGTAGAATCCTTCAATTGGGTCTGTCTGGTATTGTCTGATGATTAGAATGAGGTGTGTGGGGACCAGCAGTTAGTGTAATGGCTGTATCGCTGGACTCCCATGTAATCGAACGCGGTTCAAATCCCGGACCCGGTGGCTTAAACTCACGCCGGGCACTTTGCGCCCGAGATCCAAAGAGGAGAATGGAGGAGAAGGGATTGTGGCATGGCCATCCCCCCTGGGGGGTGATTTCTCACTTTCTGTCTCTCTGTCTCTCTCTGTCTGGCGAGCGTACACGCCCTATAGCAAAAACCTTTCCAAAAAAAAAGAATGAGGTGTGTGTGAGGGAGAGAGGGGGGAGAGAAGGCGCAAGTGCTCGACAAGGAGAGGAGAAAGCACCCCCCATGGGCAATGGCCGTGCTGGTCCTTTCTCCCTATCATTCCTTCCAGGCTTTTGGGCATACGTGCACATGTGCCCAGTGTGCAGGGATGAGACCCCCAGGCGTGGAGTCGAACAGCACAGTCAGTTTTGTGGGATCCAGCTGCCTCAGCCACCAGATGAGGGCGGCCCTGTCTACGTACATTTGAGGTTGCCAGAGGGCACATAGGCTCACCAGAGGAGGAGAGGGCAGAACGCACCAAGCCCGTGGGGTGGGGTCATGCCACAGTCCCTTCTGCATTTCTCCATCCGGTCGGAGTCTGGGGCACACACGCACCCAGTGTCTTTTTACATCTCTGGGACTGGGGTTCAAACCACAGGCTCAGCCATGTGGGATCCGACTTCACTTAACCACTAAGCTGTGGGGCTCAGCTGAGATTAATGTTTGAAAGCACCATTTTGTTCATCCAGAGACCTTCAGTGGCTTCCTCAAATCTTACAGCATTAATACCTTCATCCTTGGGGCCGGCAGGTGGCATGATGGTTAAGGGCACTGGATTCCCACATGACTGATCGCGGTTCAATTCCCGGACATTGACAGCTTTCACTTTCCATCTCTCTCTCTCTCTCTCTCACACACACACAGCTGGTCAAAATAAAATAAAGTTAAATAAAATAATTCTTTAAAAATATTTTTTAAAAAAATCACCTCCCAGAGAGGGTGGTCACGCCACAATCCCTTCTCCTCCATTCTCCTCTCGGGATCTTGGGCACGCACACACACGCGCCTGGCGTGAGTGTTAAGCTACCAGGTCCAGGATGGGAACCACAGTCAACTACGTGGGAGTCCAGTGACATAGCCATTACGCTTACTGCTGGTTCCCCCAATAAATAATTCTTTAAAAATATTTTTTAAAAAAATCACCTCCCAGAGAGGGTGGTCACG